TCCTCAGTAGTGCTAAGCTGATGACTAGGCATTTAGATGAAACCATTTGCCTTGCAGGGAAAGCTACACGAAAGCTGCAACGAATCTCGTTCGTTAGTTTGGTTTTGCAAATGCGTAGCCCCACTTAGATTCCTAAGATTGTGTATTAAATATTTGGACCGTGTTGCCCTGTCAGGCTAGGCAAATATTGAATGATATGCAAACTTCCAATTGTACTATATGTTACTTATGTACAATGTGTGGCAGGTCATTTGTATTTATTTGTGAAAGGTAGAAAGGTAAGCCTACTGCACCTCAACTTCATCAGAACATATATGTATATTTACCTCTTTTGTAAGGGTTCCTCATTCCTCTGTTTTCATTACAAAGGTTGTAGAGAAAATTTTCTCAGTGGGAGTTATTAGCCTGGAGATCAATTATATTTTCAGTATATAATATTGAATCAGTACATACAATAAATGTGTACCTGAGCGCTGTCTGTTTGTCTGTGCAAGAAATAATGTTAAGTTCATTTGACTGAAACTTTAGTTAGTTACTTACATTTATAGTTTGCAGAATGATATTCTTATACATGAAAAACAGACAAGTACATGAAAACAGTCAGAATATCTGGAGAAACCTAAAAACTGAAGTCCTCGTGAAAAAAGTCGCGGGCAATAGCAAGTATATAATTAAAAAGCATAAGTAACGAGACATGTTACAATTATCTCATCAAAATGCTAATATGCATAATTAACTGCCAAGTCTAAATTCACGTGATTAGTAGTAGTGCCAGTCATTGTTTTTTCATAAACTTGAAGTGGAAAATAGCTTGACCAGTCATCAATATTGTCAATACTCATTCAGTAATACATGATGAGCAATGATCATTTTTTCTGATGATGTATCATTTTATTCAAAGCATATTCGACTGTTGAAAATTAAAAACTGCATTTTCAATGAAACTGTTTATTTATTCATAAGACATAAACATACTCCATAATGCTTATCTTTGGAGTTACAAATTAAAAATGCGTCAGCGGGTAATACAAAGAAATATCATTGTTTTTGCTTTAATAACAACACTCAATTTAAGGTAAATTATTCCGAATGTGATGTTCTTTTCAAGAAATTGTATAGGAAAAATTGGAACCTTCCCTACCATGGATATGTAAAGTAGCTAAATTATTAATAACTCTTTCAATAAAAAAAAGGAAATAAAACTTGTTTATCGTTCATACTCTGCAGTTGAACTTTTTTGTGGTTAGAATAGTTCAAAAATAATATTTTTTCTCAAATGAACTTAGTCCACATGTACCAATAAAATGGCGAAAAATAGCATTATACTTGCTAATATTCAGCAATGGAATTACTTTTCTCATACCTGTGAATCGAAAAAAGTATTTTTCCGGTAGAAATACAAGACCAGCTAGAACACTTCCTGTCCAATGTAAAGTTGACAAACAATTGTCAATAAAAATGCGCAAAAAAGTAATGAATTTGTCATATCCAAATTATTAACCTTAGTGCTTTGCTGTTTTGTAAAGTGTATAGTGAAAATCTCACAATAAACTGTTATATAGGAGTTTCGTGGTGGTCGTGGTAGTGGACGGACGTGCCGATAACGTCCGTCCACAAAGAAGGTACCCGGATACCACGTGCTATCGCGGGGCTTCTATTTATGTTGTGATTGTCTATTGTGCAAAGTCATCAATATGGTAAAGTTTATGTGTAAGTTTAGACAAAAATGTGAAGTGAGGGTCCTCTTTATCCACGCCGGTATCCAGGCCGGAGTGGTTCGGATAACCACGTAAAGGGGACCATGTATGTGAATTTGAAAACCCGAAGGTCTCCCGAAGAGAAGGCGACTCAAAAAATATATGTGGAAAAAATCAAAAGGTTTTCCAAGCAGAAGGCGACAAGAAAAAAGTTGAATTGTTTTCATCGTAAAAAAAGTTCGACAAAAAAGGGGTGGCAGCATTGCTTCGAACAAGACTGCTGCCCCCCCCCCGAAGCTCCTGTTGTCATCTTTGATAGGAGGAGACTGGACAAACAAATACGCCCGAGTGGGAAGCAACGGCCAACAAAATTAGAGAGAGAAAGAGAGAGGGTTGGTCATACTGACGTCATACTCAAGCAAAATTTTAATAATTACAAACTTGTCGTATGTTGAAGCAATTTTGGTCAATTTGCGCAAAGAAAACCTGGCGCTCATACTGCTCACAGTGCTTAATAATGGCTCTTTGGTTTTGAAAGAAGTTACAGTTTCAATTTCAACAATTTCCAAAAGTTTTAAAACTTGTTGGACGTTTTCTCTAATCTATACCGACTCAGGGCAAAAATAGAACAACTTGTTACAACACCGTTCTTAAATACATTGTTTAATAACTTGTTGCTGCTGTACAAAACATTTATATAAGAAATAAAAATGTTGTAACGGACCGTTCGTTGGTACACATATTAAAAAGGTATGATGCAACTTCCCAATATCTATTATTTTTATTCCTCAAGATATATAACTTGAGCGTTTCGCAAAAAAGTGCATCTCCACAAAGAAGTGGAGTAATATTTACACTGCATTTTGAGCATCACTGCATCACATTGATATTTTTCAAAATTTTTTTATTTCAATAATAACTCGACCTTTAGAAAACGAAATGACAAATTGTTTTAGGAGAAGGCCGTTTGAAACCCTTGAAGAACATTTTCTTCCTTGCGTAATATTCGCCTGCATGAAAAATATTTCGCATTCCAAATTTTATAACCTGAATTTAGACTGACCGACTCATCTTTCGTTCGTCACGATAGTCTATTTTTGAAATTTGTTTACTCGAAAGTAAGGTGAATAATACAAAATATAATGATTCAACGAAACATTCAGAAAAACTGGAAACATCGTAACTTGTTGGAAATTGTTGCCAATGTCATGTTTACGTTTTAGCTTGTTGTTTGGTTTTGGAAAAACAGTAACTGGCTTTGTACACGTATGTGTTGGCTGGAAATGTGGACATATTTTCATGCGGATTGAGCAAGAACTGAAAATTATTGCATAGAAATATTTTTGATAGAGATTGAGCAACTTTCAAGGATTATTTCGCAATTCTTAACTGAGTGTTTTTCCTCTCGAAGTAAATGGTTCCAAGATATACTTCTTGTATTGGTCATGAAATACAAAAAAATATTGTACAATCCCAACTTTATACGCCATTAAGGTGTTTTTTTAAAAATTAATCTCTACCAACCATATTTCCGTTGAAACAAATGGGTTTCATTAGAAGGTATATTGAAACTAGAAGATTGGTTCAGTTATCAGTCAGAAAATTGGTTCAACTGTCAGTCCGCTGGTCCCTCGCGAACGTCTTTGAGAAACTTATGAGAGTCAGTAAAGACAGGGTCACCACTGTCACCAAGACTTTTCTCGCTTTCTATTATTACACTTTCGAAAAATCAAATCACTTCATTGATCCTGTAGAACTTACAAAGTTATAGAATAGGTCAAATCGCATTTTGTACATATACATAAAATAATAATTAGAGTAAAATTAAACCAAAAATACATGAACGATACGATGTTTCGCCTTAAGACACTTGCCCTAAGGCTCTTCAGTACCAAATAAGATAACATTATAGAAAATACACACAATTCATTCATGAATTACGATTTTTCAATGTCACGGAATAAGCTTGATCTGCTTATGTCATCGATGACATCGTAATGACATTCATTCACCTATTTGATGTAATCCTAGCCAAGAGGAATCTTATTTGAATTGAAGGAATTATATTTTTAGGAGTGATTAATTTTTGGGAAAGAAAGTTTTTTGGCTTTCTACTACTCCATCTTGATACAAAAAAAAAGGATGAGAGAATCTTCCAAAGAAAGGAAGGGAGTAATCAATTTGAAAACCAGTGAGGGTGACAGTGTTCCATGTAAGTGCAATTTGTTATAATTCATTTAAAGTAGAACTCATGTGAATGATATCTGATTTTTATTCCACAACGAATGTTTGAAATACAAACTGAGTAGAGAAAAGTATCTTCTGGATAATTCAGTGTTCATATAGAAGTATTTGTTTCGAAAGAATTTTTTTCTTTCGTGTAATTCAATGTTTATATAAAAGTAGCTGTTTCAGGAGGACTTTCTTTCAATTTGTGTCTGAAAGTTACTTCTTTGCATGATCTACACTTCCATGTAGAGAGTTACTCATTTTCAAATTGATTACTTCCTTCCTTTCTTTGGCAGATTCCCTCATCCTTTTTTTGTATCAAGTTGGAGTAGTAGAAAGCCAAAAAACTTTCTTTCCCAAAAATTAATCACTCCTAAAAATATAATCCCTTCAATTCAAATTTTAAGGGAGGTTTTGGAAACCTGAATTCTATCGGTAGTTTTCAAAGAGTCGAGCAGTTTGTTATAAAGTTTTAGCCCCAAGTAAGAAGGTGAGTTAGCGGTTATATTATATTTGACGGTATTCATGTATTGCACTTTCTTGTATTTACATTATAGTAAGATGAAATGCGATCATATTTCGACCTATTGGTGTGAATAAATTTGCACATTTCAAAAATCAAGCATCCAAAAGTCGGGTTTCTAGCGACTTCAACGAATTCAAGCAATATGTATTCGTTCTTCGTCACGTTAAGCGACATTTGACTTTTCTGGTTTACGAAATCGAATATGCTTCCGTTGTATGTTGATTTCGTGGAGTCGTTAAATGTGACGAGTAAAATGATCGTAGAATAGGTGAAGATTGTTTGAAATTGTTGAGACCGGTACATGACACTAGACCACGGAATTTATGAGTTTATGAAATTACTATGGATCTTCATCAAGTAACGACCGAATCAATCAGAAAAAACCCATTAGAAATAGCGACAAAGGTTCTATTCCGAATAGGTTTTTAAATTCCATTAAAAATATTGCTAACTCACTCTATAATCGTTTCCAAAATTTGAATATCTTCTACGTAAAAGCACGAGATAACTTAGATAAACAAATTGTTTATTTAATATCTCGTGATATTACCAGAGTAGTGAAATCCATTCGCGAGCTCCACAGAGATCCAATAGTTTCAATTGAATGTGTTAATTGTCTCGAAGTGTATGCAACTACGTGTTATTCAAATTCATAGACATAAGTACATAGTTGAATTTCGATTCTAGCTGAACTAAGGAAGCAAAACCAGGTGAGTGTAAAGACATTTCTAGTTCAGAGACAACTTTATCATAACTTTCATTGAACGCATGCGCAATTTGATTAGGTGGTGTGGGCTATTAAAAAAATTAATAACTCAATTAATTTCTCTCACTGAATGAAGAACGCAAAAGAAAATCCGGAGCTACCCAGAAAATAAAATATTTTTCGAAGAAGATTTTGTTACATACATAAATAATATTTCATTGTAGGGGAGACCGGGGCAACAATTAACAAAAAATATATTTATAGTTGTAGCTAAGAAATAATTCAACATTTAGACTTGATTTTTGAGATACATGATGCTAAAATCATTCAGGTATTACGTAATGATCTCAAAACAAACTTAATAGTAACAATGCCGTAGATAGAACGCTTTTTCCAAGAAATGTTGATTGTTAATTGTTACCTCAGGTTTGGGGCTAGAATTAACAGGTATGGGGCAAGTATTAACAGAAGGGGTAAACAATAACATAGGTTATGCTGACTAACATAAAGAAAAATAAATATATTTAAGACATATTTTTTTATTAATGAAAGTGTAATTTATACAGCCTTGCATGGAACTCATATTCTTATATAAACTCATGACTTCACCAAACAACAACCAATAAAAAAGCAATTAATACGTCATAGTGGTGGGGGGAGGCTTAGAACCGGCTCAAATCTCCTACTGATGAGGCAGAATATGGCACATACTTTATCTTGAAAGCTAGCTAATGAGTCTTTAATAAACATCTTCAAACTAAATTATTATCGTCTTTAGACTTGAGCAACGAATATAAAATGTAGTTTAATACAAAATTAACAAAAATATCAAGGATTCGGAACTATTTTAAATACCTACGAACTGAAAGAGTATATGTGTGATTTATCGGTAAATTGGTCACCTATATGGCTAATTCATAACGTTCTTTCGGTCCATTGAAAAATTAAAATTGGTGATGGTTTATCGGAGACGAAACATCAGATAAAAAATATTTTCAGCTTGAAGAGTGGTGATGAGAAAGTGTTGTGTGATGTTTTCTTGAATAACGACAAAAAAATAGAAACGTATTCGTATAAACGTATTCGTTTTCATGTATATAATATATGTGTAGTAGTGTATATATCTGTTTGTCTGTATATAGTGTACCTATTCAGAGTGATGTGATGTATATACAAAATGTATTCATACATATATCTACTACGTATTTTGCTGTGATTTCTGTACATTTTGTGCTTTGTCAATTAGTATTTTGTTCTTGCGACAAAAAGTATACCTTGATTGATTAATGACTGAAATTCGTGAATTCGGGCATTTTCGTGCCTTTTCAAACCAAACTCCGAACCTATTCGGAATTTCCTAAATTGTATAGCGCCGTTCAAATGCACTTCAAAATTTTTCCTAATTCAACCGACTTTTTATCTCTCACGGTTTTCGACTTCCCCATATTGGCCTTCCTTATCACAGAATATATATAAGTACTCCAATAACACATTTTGTGGTACAGATAATAACCAACTTAATCGTCGTCGAGGATTTTTTCCGAAAGACTCCATAATTTCTTCAAAGATGCTTCACCAAGAACAAGCAATCGAATATTTCACTAGTAGATATACATTTGGTCTGTTTGATAAAACCTGCCACCCTCACATTTGCCCATTCGTAATATTTCTCCATTTTTCAAATTATACCACTCAGAGTATAGTCTATGCGAAGTCAATCCGAACATCTAAATAGAAAACTAATGGCATTACTCTTCACTACTAATAAAAACATCCGTGTAGGTTTATGGAAAATAAAATTACACCATATGGTTATATTATACCACGTCGTCCATGCCATACAAAGATAATGCCGACGTTCGGTAACTATTTAGTTTTTACGTCATTGGAATTGACTTTGTATATACTACAACTTCTCTGCCTTGCTGTTTTCATTTAGTGACCAAAGATGAAACGCGCTACTGCTGGTATCTGGGATATGTAGAGTAGGGTGGGTTAGTGTAGACTCACAGAACTTTGGCCACATGTGCCCCATTGTACATCCTCCCGAGGAGATGTCCTCCTAGGTCATCGTCCATCCGTCCTTTCCAGGAAGGTAAACAGGTCACTAGGGGACATCTCCTTTATATTGGCAGGTGTCATCCAAGACTGGCCGAACACACACTCTCTTTGGCAACCTTGAGGTGTCTCACGGTGGCCTCCGCGAAGGTTTTGGAAGATACAGCGATATTACTGTAGTTGCGCGGCTTCTTCAACCTTCTTGGGGTTCCCTTCGTGGAGGTGCACAAGTGAGAAAACTTTCCTGCAGGGGCAGCTGGTTTCTTTCCTTTATTCAAGGCGGATCTCTTGGCGCCCGCCGCATGAAGTGCCCTTGCTGTTGGAGGTGATCTGCTATGTCCAGCCTCATTCCAAGCGATAGATTGGGGTGGACATTTCTGTTCATCCCAGCCACCGACTTAGATTGAGGTGAGCACTTCTGTCCAGCCTCGGGATTGGTTTTTGTTTTTGTGGTTTCTGTTTTTGAGTTGTTTCATTCATGTGTGTTCCCACGAGTAGCAGAGCCCCGCATTACCAGAGGTAGGCTGATTACAATGAGGGTTCGCCCAGTTCCCCAAGGGGATCGTTCGTGACCGCATATCAACCTGCGGCCATTCAGCTGTCGGCACAATTCCTTATACCTTACCTTGGGTAGGCTGGTCCATGGTGGCATGTTTTGCAAAGGCTTTTGGTGGAAAGCTGTTCCCCTCACCCTACTTATTTCTGCCACTGGCTATGAGTTCGGCGATCCCGTCCGTGAGGCTACATTGGCTTCCCGGACAGATCCCCCAGTCCCCTGGCCGTTCCCCTATCCGCCACCTGGGGAAGCGCCCGAAAGATAGCCCAACCTACGGGTCGCAGATATGTTATTATTATTTCGGCGTCCAGATGGTCAAGCTTTTTTTATCGATATTTTGAAGATCTCACAGTTGATGAAAATTAATAACAATAGAATTGTGAACCAATCAGAGTGAATAATGGGAGCTTGAAAAGCTCACCATCTCAAGCATTAGAAACACTGTTGAATTTACCTCCTTTGCATCTTTTAGTAACAAGGGCGCAAAAAATGTGCCAGTTCAGACTGGACAATTCACCGAGCTAAGGGATCGGGCACAATTGAAACTTTGGAATCACGGTTCACGTGATACACTTTTGAATTAAATATTACGGTTTAAATTAACAAACCCTGAAGAGTGGATGATGAATAGTTATTCCGAGAACATACTTGGCAGCTACTTGCTCGGTAATACACATCAACCGGAAGTGTATGCAGTCTTGCAGAGACAAGGGATATTGATTTGTAGGTTCAGTTCCTTACAGTCAGTCTGGATACACTTGGGACATTGATTAATCCAAGAGTATCACCAAGACTGGTTTGGGAATTTCGTAAAGAACTGAAACAACTAGCGTACCGGAACTGTGATTCTATGCTGAATATAAGGACCTTCAGGAACCACAGGAAACAAAAAGCTAATGAGCGTGCCAGACATGGATCATCAACTCCGTATATTGGTTCTGAAGCAACTATTACCAGCTGGTTACCAAAATCCGTGATATGAGACCAGATCAATAAATTGGTCGATAAGAGAACTGGAAAAATTCACCTGGTAATGAACACGGAGAAAACTTCATAAAGGGGCCGCCTAAAAAGAAATGAAGAACTGCTCCAACCTAAGGAGCATCTAAACAAAATATGACTGAATTACGGAAACCTCAGCTGTAGACAACACAACATAGTGACAGAGGCAACTCATCATGCTTCAGCCTGATGTGATAAACTATGTTATTCATAGAGAACCAAAATTATGCACAAAATAATGAGAATTTTTAACGGAGTGTGTTTACAAACGAATACATGAAAGGGCGTCGTGAAAAGATGGAAAAAAGTGTAACGAACCCATGAGGCTACAGCGTTTTCCGGAGAAGAAATGAAGAAGTTAAACTGCTTCCCGGCAGCAAAAATATGTCTCCGCGATCCTGATCATGCAGGAAGATCGGTACACCATTACCAATTACAAATTTGTCAATCGTAGAGAACCATTAACCTACTCAGTGCTCACTCTCGTCTGCAAATGTTATGAAATGTTATGTGCAAAGGGAAAATTTTTTCTTGTCGAGAATCTCTTGTTTTGAAGTGAATGAAGGAACAATGTAGCTTCAGCTGAAGTAGTTTTACTTGATACTGTTGGAAAAACACATACATAATCAGAACAATTCAATTTTGTTGTCATAATAATTTTTAACATTTCTGTTACCATTACTTCCACTACTGTGACTAATAAAAAACGTATAGTAGACTTCATAAAAGATCGCTTCAATCAAAATTCAGACATCACATCAGAGGATGAACATTTACTCATTTCCAGTTCTCGAGCATTTCAAAAAATCAATCGTCGGTAATATATTTTCTGGAGATTCGTTTTCTACCCAAAAAGGATTTAGAGCCGCGGCACGTGTTATTATCTTTGTCTTTCTTTAATGAAACGGAAACACGGCTTCAGTAGTCTCAGCAACCTCTTTCCAGTATAATCTGTAGCGCGGTGATGGAGATCAAACCCACCTACACAAGTAATTTTTATCAAAGAAAATCAATAATACGTTTGAGAACTTTCAACAAAGCTGATACGGTATTATCAATTCCTTCAGGAAATCAGGTGAATTTTCATCACATCTTGAATAAAAGGTAAAACTGGTACGTTACTCTTCTCGATGCACGTTTCACAAACCTAGTTGACATCTTCAGGAGACGAGGATGAGTTTTCTTCAACTCCTGAAGACATTAACTTGGTTGATGACTCTGAAGTTATGATATAGTTGATTTGCAGTCATTTGCAACAAATATTAATATTTTTCATCGATTCATAACAATTATAAAATGGAAATGTCTATCTTTACCTTTGTCGAACATCCAATAATGTGAATATCTAGAAATATACGTTTGAATACTATAAATTTCATCCAAAATTT